TAATTAGTTCATTCCAGAATCGGGATTTATTTTGTGTTTACCTATTTGTTTACTAGAGAGAGCAAAGAAAAGGAAAACTTGAAACAAACCCTATACTAACCTGTCTGGCCAGCGTGGTATAATAGGCCAAAACCTTCTTTCTAAGGAGAGGCCTGTTTCCAGCAGTGGACTATCAAAGGCTGTTGATGATGATGATGAATTCGAAGACATTATCAAAATCGAGCAAAATACGAAAAAAAAACTACTTGACTGTAATTGGAAAGATCACATATATATAGTATCATATAAAGATCACATGTATGTATAGTATCATATTAAGATCACATATATTATTATAGTATTAAACTATATATTAAATGCCCAAATTTCCTTTGATTCGGGGTGAAGTATCTAGCCATAAAATTTTCAGGGCCAAACGTACAATTAGGTCATTTAAACAGAAACAATCTTAAGGTTTCATTTTCAAACATCTAAACCAATACGTCATTTTACTTACGAAGAAGAACAAACGGAGAATATTTATGCAAACAAGTATTTACACAAAAATATCCGTGAGTTTGAAACTTTCGGAGTTTGATGGAAAATATATTAATTAACCGCTGGATGCGTCGGCGGTGGCTCATCAAAAATGTATAGAATTCGTATGATTTGCATAAAAGTCATTTTATTGCCTCGAAAGACAAACAGAATGGGATATTAGCTGTTGGAATGAGTCCAAAACTGCGCTGTGTGAACTATGTAACGGAGGTATTTATCTCTTGTTCCTGCCGCTCTTACTTATGTACGTGTTGAACTGTTGAGCTCTAGAGCGATTTAACGTGTTAACCTGAGGAAAGTTTCTCTTTGGCTTTCACCGTTTATTACTGTCAGTAAAGGTTCTTCTCCACATCTTCGACTTTTGTAGAAACAAACCTTATATATTCACAATATATATGACTGTATGTATATGTCTTTGGGTATCATTTACTATGATTGTGTAAATATATGTTTGTTTATAATTGTTTATAATATTCAAATAGTAAGTCGTCTTGTTTTTGAAAAATAGAAGTATTTTGCTCATGTAAATTATGTAAGAGCTACCATTAGTCTTAATTTTTTTTTAATGCGGAAATCCCCTTGGATACCATCCACCGGTTGGATGGTTATGTCGGACTCGGACCGACCAAAAACCGCACGCCGTCTCGGGTACCAGTTGCCGGGAAACCAATTGTACCCTAGAAAAAAAATCCCTGGTACCCCGACGTACCTCGGGCCATGTACGGCGTGGTCTCAGGGTTGCCTCACGGTGCGTCTTGCCGCACGCCGTCACGAGCGTATCGTCCGCGTAGCACGTGACGGCGACACCATCCAGGAGGCACCACAAAGCAGACAGTCGTAGCCGACGTTCCTTGATGAAAAAAAAATTAGAATCACTCTTTCAAAGATTTTGCACACCTCGTCAAGCAACACTATGGGCCGGTAGGCGGATGGTGAGTCCGCCGGGCGCCCCTCCTTTCGGATGAGGACCAGTTTCCCCGTCTTCAAGAATTTCGGAAACAAGCCCCGCTCGAGGCATGCGCTGAAGAACCCTCACAATAATTAGTCTACCCTATAGTACAATAAATATGATGTAATAATTTAATATAGCTTAACACATAGGTTTCATATAAAGTCTTTCCTTACATACTCTAAAACTTTCGAATTTTTGTAGAAGATTGGACTGACCAGACTGATAGTGGCCAGCGCAAGCTGGTTGAAAGGTCATGCAATTCATAGGTATGTTAAACCTGTTAAGCGATCCCGTTAATTCTCGTCTATATACTTATTCTATACTTTTAATTGTGATGTATCACATGATAGCAATAAGTAGAAAAAAAAAACTGTTTCAGAAATTATTAAGATATGTCTAGTCTACAATGGTCACCGATGAGAATCAGATTCATTGAATTATTGATATGACACAAACAAAACCCGCACAGATTCCTCCTGCAGTACCCGCTGAGAATTTAAATAAGAGTAGGCTGGAGTTTGCCAAAGAATTCAATGAGTTGGTGTAATTATGTCGAGCAAGTTAGCGCATTCATTAGCCGTGTTGTATTTAATATTCATCAGGGTGCGGTTTACAAGTAACATTTTTACTCTACGACTCTAGTACCGAGTACGTACACAAATTACATGGAAATTAGTATAAGTTTATTTTGAACCGAACTTTGTACAAAGTGCAAAGTTACCTAAGTTCGTTATTGTTCAAGCGAGAGTTTCCTGACGATCTTTAACCATATTGGTTAACCTAAGAACAGCTTATCTAGCTGTGGATATCATTTTCAAAAATGTTGAATCTTATTTTAATTGGTTTAGACCATTAAATGCTTAATAGAAAAGGCTTATATTATGTCAATATAAAAATGATTTAAGAAGAAGTGCATGAATCACAAAATCTGCGTAGACATAGATATCATTTTCTTGCTGCGTTTTTTCTGTCTACTTTAATAGAGGTAAATTAATTCGGCTTTGTAACACTAGCGTTTGATACACGTTCCTTTTTTTGTGCGTATGGAAAAGTCTCAGGCTTTCACTCAACAAGGTTTTTACGGTAGTGCAGTGCAGTGTGTCGGAATTAAACCAATTAAAACCAAACGGTGTGCCATATTATGCCTAAAATAGTAGAGATCCGGGGCATATTATACTAAGACAACCAAACTCCTCGCAGCCCATGCCTCCAGCTGGCAACTACGGCGCATAGAGAGGAAAAACCTGTACCGTCTGCACCTTTACGGCCAAACTCAGGGCAGCATAATTAAGAAACTGGAAGGCGCACCATCGCCGCCGGAAAGGAGATCATCCTCCCGGGAGCGCTCTGGCACCTAATGTATATAATACACCTACTATGTTAACCGTAGACATATGCAACTTTAGTGACAGGTGGTAAATATGGTTAATTATACTACATAATACCACCAGTATTCTGAATTAGAATTATGTTGAAATGAATTTTGCCATCGCGTATCAAACAGGCATTATATACTTTGACTTTCATGAACATGACTGTTTAAAATATCGGCAAAATCAAAACTTACATAGTTTTGATTTTGCCGGTATCAATTAAATGAAAGTTTGAAAGCTGGTATTCTATAATTAATCTCCTAGCCTAACTTGAATTTAGTAGCACCGACAAACTCGGTATTCCGTTTAAGATTTATATCTTTAATATTTATAACAAATTGATCACTTGTCCTCAAGTTACCCGATAATTGATTGTCACAGTGAATTTATTCCACGAAGCTACGATCCAATGTAAGCACTGAATGTACACATTACAGCTAAAATAAAATAAATCCGTAATGTGAAGCGAATTAAGTTGATTTTGTTTTGCCTCTATCTCCTCCGAGAACTTCTTAGTAAAGGAATTGTGCTAAACGTTTACCAGATTATTTTTACTTAACCAAAAACCTTTTTTGATTTCAGTTCCTTTGTATCGCTTCATTTACTTAAGTCCCGATAGGCCGTTATATCCATTAATGCTCAAACTTTCTGTTACAATGGAGGTCTTGGATTATGTCGGATGATATAGATATTAACTTTTGCCTGAAATATTTTTAGGTAGTAAAGATAAATTTACAACAGAGTTTATGTTGTAGGTAGATTGTTATATATTACTCAATAAAGCTACGAATATTTATCATTCGAGGCATGATTTAAATTTTATTTAAGACTCGTGGGTTGGAAAAAATATACACAAGAAGCTCACTCTTTTATTATTTAGAACAGTTTACGGCGGAGTTTGGGCCTCAATTCTGCTATTTTATGTTCACGTATAAACTACAACGACATAATACACCGTAATTAATAGAATTATCGTTGTTGTTTTTGTTGTTGTTTAGTTAGTGTGGACTACCGATATTTATACCGATGCCAATGGCCACTCGATGGCATCTCAATAACGTGTCAGTGGTATGACAGTGGCTTGGCGTGAACATTAAATAGCAGAATTGAGGCCCTGTTCAATCTCGTTACTACTGTGACTTAGCCGACTTGACTTTCGTGCTAAAAGAGACTACCACGGATTAGTGATTTTTATGGGAAAGATCTATAAACGGTAGAAAGCGGCAAGAAGTAAGGAGACATTCGTGTTATACTAAAGTATATGTCGTCAAAGTCTAGTCAAGTATAGACTCATTTACTAGGACAATGAGAAAACCAAGTTCAACTTTGCAACCATTCATACGAATGAGTGATTCCCTGGTATACCAATTTCAGTTGGGATACAAATTATGTTCATTAACAATTTCAATCTGTTAGTACCGGTTGAAATTTATTGCAAGTTATTGACAACAATCACAAAACGATTTAAATATTGAGCGACTGCAAAAGAAAGAGGCTTTCCTTGATTATAATAATTATGCAAACCTCCAGAACATGTTTAAGGTATGCAGGCAAAATCTCTCATCAAACCATTATCTCCTTAATTCCTAATAATATCTAATATCTAACTGTTTTCAGATTACTTAAGCGATTTTTTGTTACATTTGTTGATGATTTTCTAATGATAGCAACAAAAGTCGTGACAGAGTTGAGTACTGAAGTTGTATTGTTAATTTTATCTATATAAATATATGTATTTTAAAGACTATGAATTAACCTACCGATGGCGAATATTTTATTTTAGCCTTTCTTGTTTCAGATGCTGAATCGGACGTTAAAACAGCCTCTTAGAAAATTGACATAGCTAGTGCAGTAAAAGTTAGTTCATTTAAAATAGTACAAAGCTATCGAACTTAATCATTCCTAAGTCATATAACTTATTTTTGTAACGCTTTTGTAGTAACGATATCAAAAAGTAGGGGCTTAGTAAATCGATGCTATTTTCTAAAACGTACGTTCAATAAGATAAGTCTATCGCCAAGTGGCAATATTCTTATAGGGAAAATAATGCCCGAGATTCACATAAAGCATCGATATCTTAGGGGTTGTGATTTTTCGTTGGTTGTGTAATGGTAGCAGGGTGGTAGGGGGTAGTGGTAATGTGTGAAGATAAGGAGGAGGCCCGAAGCGAGGCGGGCGCTGTGGCAAGCCCGCGCCGTCTGTGCTGGTCACGCCGTCCCCCACCGCCGCTGCCCGACACTAGGGGGCTCTGCTGCGCTAAGTTGCTCAGGAAGAACGGCAAGCCTAAAAAGGTAAGTGATCTATGCAGCTTAATTAATTATTTATAGGTAAACATTGTATGAAATCGATTAAAGGAATACTTGCCAAGAATATAACCTTTTTTAAAGTATGAAAAAGTCTAAACAGTTTGTGAAAGGTAGTGTAGATATTATTTACATCTTTATTTGTTAATGATAAATGTAATGTTCAAATGATTTTTTCTTACAATATGTAATACTAGCTTTTGCCCGCGACTCCACCCGCGTGTATGTCGGTTATCGCGGTAAAAAGTACCCTACGTAACTCGCTTGTAATGTAGTTGAAAGCGTAACAAACAAACAAACCCACTTTCACATTTATAATATAAGTATAGTGTAGTGTTATAAACATCAGTATTTCAAGAACACTATTTCAAATACATTAATTTGTAGTAGTACACAATTTTACTACTTTTAAACATTTTTTTTTAAACTTACAGTATTACTTTTCTGTATGTTTATCTAATAATTATACATAGTATTTTTATATTTAATATCTACAATATATTATCTTAAACTTATCTTAAAACGTTAAAAAGTTATCTTAAACTGTTTTCCTCATCTGAAGAAAAATCAGTCAACTGTAGTCTCTCTTTAGTTATTCCTCTCACGGTTAAAGTACTCGTAGTACATATTTATCAACATCTACAAATAAGATAACTGCAAAATATGAATAGGTAAGAAAAAGTCAGATGTATTATTATTAACGGACAGAATTATTTAATTTCATTTTTTTTTTTTTGTAACTAATTTGGTTTGGTCAGTTGGTAAACGATCTGATAACGGTAGCCTAGCAAATAAATAGGTATAACAGGAGTGATGGCAGTTTCAAACGAAGGACCCTATCCAGTATTCCAGCTCCGGTTCAATACAATCTTGTTATTTAAATAATGCGTTCAAATGACATCCAACATTTCAAGGTAGAACGCGTCCCAGCGCAATGTAATCGAAGTTAGAACTAACTTTTGGGCACGGTGGTTGACTCCAATCGCACTTACTAAATATATCTTTGATTACCTATAATGTAATGTTTATAGTTTGCTGAAGATATATTCAGTATTATACAAGTTCGAGGTTCAAGTTAATATTATGAACATTGTATTAATATCATGACTACTATGTCAAGTAAGCCACAAAAGTGCTAACTTTGTATTAAGTTAGTTTTAGTTGACGTTAGGAGCTCCGCTTCTTTGATTAACCACCCCAGGGAAAACAAATGCGCAACGATTTATGTTGACACAGTGTTATGAAGTACTCCACTTCGAGCACGTACAACGTTAAACACTTTGTTGATTGTTCAGGTTTTTTTTTTCTGTTGGTGACTATGATTGCTTTAATTACCCAAGATTTAAACTAGAGTTACAAATGATAAATGTAAAATTCAGTGCTTCCTTCAAATTTAAATTTATATGAAATACCTACTTTTTATATAATGCATTCTTATTATCTATTTCAACTTTAGTATTTCCGAAACCAAAGTCAAAATGAAATGTTTTCTTTGAATCAAAGAGCATTTGAGAGCGCCTGCATTCACTATTTTGCAATTCTAAGTTTGGCAAAGAGGTTTCAATCTGGCTAATGTGTCTAGCTATATAACTGCCTAGACGACAAAAGTACTCCAGGTTTATATCGATCGTTCAATCTAAGAACTCAAATAGTATAGAAAATATCAAGAATGACATTTTAAGGAAGATACATTATATTCATACTGCAAATATTTGTTTCGTGACATTATACATACATCTAATAATGCCTTTTTAGAACAAAACATGCACTTACATGTGGTATGATATTCCTTTATCTTTTTTTTATGGAAGAGGTGACAAACGAGAAGACGTATTTACCTTTTTGTCGTTATTTGTGCACTTTCGGAATACACAGGAAGGCATTTTATGAATTTTCTTGAGTTAATTAGTACGTGCGCTCGCTCGCAGTGGTCCTAATGAGTTTATTCACTGATCTTTTTTGTATATTGAATACCACAGCATTTTATTTTAGGAATGATAATATAAATAATAATATATTTTACCACATTCATACAACGCCATCTATTGCATCAAGCAGAGCTTGTACTATGGGTACTAGACAACTGATATAAATACATATATACTTTTTTTTGTAAATACATACGTATTGTACATAGAAACACCCAGACCAAATCAAACATTAAATGTTCATGCACACAAATGATTGACTTGAGCGGGAATCGAACCCGCGACCTTTGGAATAGCAGTCCGTTACACAAACCCCTATGCCATCCGGTCATAATTTGCGGGAACATGATAAAGGTACAATATTATGATAATATTTTATTGCTGTCATCATAAAAATGATTTTTAATGAGCCTCGCCGTCAGAACGTTATAAAAAAGAAAATTAGCAATTTCCCTAATGACGTAATATCTCGTACTACTCTTTTTATGAAACTGTCACCCTAATTTTTTTTTAAAGTAAATTAATTTACGCTCAGTTAATTAAGCTTTGCATAATAATTATTCAGAAAAGTGATTTCTTTCTGTAAAAAAAATGCTGAGTTTAGTAATTTGTAATTAAAAGTGTTTGAAATCCTTTGTTGACATAAATGCTGACAGAACGAAATGCGAAAATACTTTGAAGTAAGAGTTCTATAAATTGTAATTAGATGGTGTAAATTTTGGCGAATTTTGTGTGACGGCTTCTACTTACATGAATCATATTAAGTTTCGAAGGAATTGACTTCTTAGTCTAACAAAATAGTACATTTAGTTTTTACTAGTTTCACTGACTCTGTATTTAAGTATTTCCTTTATATAAGCCCTGAAATTTTACAACATTGACCTGATCAACTAAGTCTTATAAATTAATTATAATTTTCTAAAACTCTTTTTAAATTAGTTCAGTTTCCATGCTGCAATTTTTCTTTATGAAAATTGAGAGTTAATTTTTTTCTAAGATTTATACTTATTCTTTTAATGATTATAGAAGTTCAATAGAAAAATGGAGACAAGTTTAGAGTCACGGGTGTGTTAAATATTAAAATTATACTTGCTTACAAATATTTTTACTATTAGTGGCACTGCGGTTTGACCTTAACTTCTGTGTAAATGTGCCTAAGAGAAATCGGCAGGAACCAAATTATATGGCCCCTTAGACTCTGTAAATACATATATTATAAAACATGTTAACATTAAACATTGACTTAATACGCATTCTATACGCGTTCTTATTTGCGAATAAAATAAGTAGATATCATAAAAGTAGTATAAGAACTACATCCCGTCCATGATTTACATACTTTTTACACTCTAAAGATTTGAATAAAAAGAGGGTATCTCTTCAAGAAGCTCCGATTTTCTTTATAAGTAGCCTTACATTAACATAATCTAGAGATTAGGAGATATATCCACTATCTCACAGCCTAAAGAGGGGCAGTGTTGGGCCTAATTTTATTGGTAGGTACTTTCAAATAAAACCTTAACTGAGATTTTCTAAACACTTTTCTATTAATTAATAGGCACATATTATTACATATTGCCGTACATTTACATACGTATAGTTAATTTTAAAAGATTTATTTACCTTCTTTATTAATAAAGACGGAAGTGCACCACAAGTGACGTAAAGTGTATACAAAGATAGACCGCGATAAGATCGCATATCGTACTTACTTAATTGTTTATTTTACGATTACCCCGCTTATATTGTAAACATTTTGAAATCCTGATAATACAGTGTATTTTAGTACTTACACTATAAACATATTTATTACTGTTTCATGTGGAAATAATCAAACAGATTTGGATAAAATTGCACACGGAGAAGGATGCGCGTGGGCAAAACCCTGGGTTGAGATTAAAAAATTACTACATCAATGTAAACCGTAACGTACCACCAATGCACCGCTAATGAAGTTTGATCAGATATAAATAACTAAAATTCATAGTTTCATCTAGTTCTTCGTAGTTATCCACTACCCACAGCTGACTCAGCTGTAATAAATTGTAGGTAAAGCATGATCGTTAAGATGCATAGTTTACGCGCCTGAATCCCTTTTAAAAGATTCTACCCTTCCCTTCCCTTTTAAAAGGTTTATTAATCACTTGAACGAGTGTTAATTCGCTAGCTTTCTTAGAAGCTTATAGGCCAGATATAAAATAAAAGAATTAGAGAGTCGTGTTCTCAGAATTGGACAATAATATTTAGTATTCACATCATCACATTACATCAACAGCTTTTAATAGTCCACTGCTAGACATAGGCATCTCCTTAGAAATTAGGTTTTTTTTGTATTAATATTTGGAATAGGTAGATATTATTTGTCATTGGAGTTCGTTATCAACCGGTTTTTTAGTTATTTTACCGGAACAGCGCTTAATGTGACGTATGTTTAATGTTGTATTTATTAGTGTATTTCTATATAAGTTAATAATAGTAAGCTTAGGTATACTATTAATAGATGTTATATTTAATATAATCATCTGCGGCTTAACTAGCTTTACAGCCTTCATTATAAATTATCGCAATGAATGCTTACAAATGAAAAAAGATGTATTCTTTTCGTGAGATAGAATAAATCAACTAGTAAAATTGGTACAATTATCTAAAGAAAAATGGCCAATTCGTAGTTCAGTATAATTTGAGCATCTTAAAATGTCATTCAGAGAAAACGAATTTTAGTAAATATCTACGTTTTTTGAAACTATCGTCTTAGTCAGTAAAATCCCAGGAAAAGAAAGAAAATGTATAGGCTTATTTATTTATTTAATTTCCTTATCAGTTTAGTATTACCATTTTACAGCCATTTTTTTCAAGTAGTGGAAATACTATCCAATAAAGTGTCGTAATATGGTAATCACTTAATAGTAATGTGGTAATCAGATAATAGTTTTATAATTCTAAGTACTGAATCAATATAGCATGTAGTTTGTGGTGCATTATTAAATGCATTATTTACGTATTTGAAAATCCTATAGTGGAATATAAGGCAGTAAAAAAATGTGGCACCTGCAAGCTGAAAGAAGCAAAGGTTTTTTGACAACTCTTGACAGACGTTTGCGTTCTGCGTTTAAATATAAAGATTAAACGTCTGACGCAACAAGCGGCGAATGGATTATATTAGTTTAGGTTTAGAATTTACAATTCATTATATGTTGAATTAGGTAATAAATTAGGGAAAAGGAATAAACTTATTGGATATTATATATGCGGATGTACATAAGTATAGGATGATTATTTCATTCATCAGACACATTAAAAGTGACAAAAAATAAAACCTACGAAAGTTCAACAGCTAGTGGACTATAATAATTCTTTATTATCTTTTTCTTATTTAATTTAAATGGCATACATACAGTTATAATTATCAAATAATTATGAAAAACAATAAACCAATTTGAAAAATCCATTTCCATTAACAAATTGATAAAATAAAGGCAACATTTTACAGTTATGTTATAAAATAAATGCGGTGCGTAACTAAAAAAATCAAATCTTTTTACGTGCCTTTCCCAAAGAAAAATTGTTTTACACATAGATTCTAAAAAATAGCCGATTTTTTAAATAATTTTTTTCACTACAAGACGATGCAATTTGAATCTAAATTTTTTTGAATGGAAACCCACCATTGTTCTTTATATGACAAAGAAGAGCAGAAATAGTTTTCTATTCTTCTTCGAACAGAAAGCTAAATCAAATATTTGAGCTGAAAAGAAAAGCTATTAATCTAGCACTGTTTTAAAGTTTTATCTAAAACAGGTGGTCAGTATGAAACAGTGTTTATATAAACTACTCACTTCATACCCTTTTTCAATAGAGATAATGTAAGATGGTTGGAAAACCAAGCACATTTAGCAAGACAATTTCTTAAAACATTCAACTAAGTGGTTACAACGTTGGTTACGTACAATCCCGATTTAAACAATAGATCGAGTTTGAAATGAAATAATCTTCTCTTCTAGGAGCTATAGAATTCATTGAACTCTAATAATGTTAAGATTGGTTTTAGAACCGGGTGTCGTTAAGACGTTTCCTTAATCTGGATGTGTTAAGTTGTTGTCTGAAGTTAGTTCATTATTGACAGTAGTTAGTAACATCTACTTTTAAAAGTG